TGTAAAATAAACACAAGAATAAACTTGATAGGTTGTGCTCCGGGTTAAGAATTCTTGTAAACCGGCACCTGATTATCCTTAAGTCCTTGTCATTTCCTCCTTCTAGAAAATCCAGGTCAATAAGCCAGCGTCGTACTCAATTTGCTGACATTGGTTTCTCATAGAAAAATATTGTGAAGAATAATCCACTTGAGTCGGCTTCCAAAGCGCCGGTTTAAGAAATATTGGTCTTGAAATATTCATCTGATATTCAGCCGGTTTGAAGATGTAAAAACTTGTCGGTTTAACATTACCATAATGGCCGGGTTATAAAAACTGATGATCTCGGATTATGACCGTTTATAGACGCCGGGTTATGATTGTTGCCAACACCGGATCACACAATTAATCTTCCTGATTTGCCAAAACTGAGAATTAGAAGATGTTCCTCCTTTATATGCATATTACCTGTAGCCCCCAAGTCTTAAGAGGAGAACATAATGATAGCTTAAGATTTGTGTCAATATAAATGTTGCAACCTTGAAGAAATCCAGATTGTTCATCTCAGTTACTAGTCACAGCTGAATATTCCACATATGTAGCCCCTAAGTGCCGGCTTGTTATGCTTGCAGCAACCTGGGACTTGTAATTGCCTTATACTCATAAAAACTTCAACCAATGTAGCTCCCAAGGGCCGGGTCATTATGCAATAATGAGAATAGACTTGGTAAGTATAATCATGTAGATTTGAGCAATGATGTGTAGCCCCCAAGGGCCGGCTCAGTAAGATAATACTGAGCTGGGACTTGATATATACTTCAATGAAAATAACATCATATGATGTAACCCCCATCATGGGACTTGAATCCACGTCCACAAGGTTAGGAGCCTTGTGCTTTACCAACTGAGCAGTAGACCCTTCAATATAATGAATAAAAAGGTTTGTACCTTGAATTGTTGACGGGAGCAATTGGTAGCCCCCAAGGGCCGGCTCATTATAATGTGATGAGTCGGGTCTTCAATAAGATGAGCAAAAAATGACTTTGCATTAGCCCCCAAGTGTCATGGTGCATGCTTGCAGCGACATGAGACTTGCATATTTGATGTAATCTCAACTTAAATAATGTAGCCCCCAAGTGCCGGGTCGTAAGCCTGCAGCGACTTGGGACTACTTCCTCCATTGTAGAATAAATCATATTCATTGATAAAATAATAACCATTGCGCCAAAAGCGACTTTGAAAACCTCAATCATAATATTGGTTATTGATAACCATAATAAAAATCCAGCCATGTTGGCTATTTGAATAATATAATCCGATGATTTATAAGCGCATGATTCCAATGGCGCAATCCAAATATATACTGGCGACCTATAGTCCAAAGCCAGGCCGGTTTAATAAACACCGGACAATTTCTCATCATATACTGGCGACTTATCGTCTTAAAGCCAGGCCGGTTTAATAAACGCCGGTGATTTATAATCATGCTTTATTCAACCTGTTTCTGCATACAACAAGTTTAAGATGTCCTGACGGTTTACCGCCGGACGGGTCATAATGCCCAACATATAACCCAGGTTTATAACCAAGGCTGCACTTAAGAATAATCAAATATGAAATATATCATACCTGTGACATTGAATCACATCATTGGTTTACCAACTTTTTGTAGTAGAGGTAATAACCCAAATTTTGAGTACTGATAACTCCTTCCATATTGTGCCGGTTTATGAAAAACCGTACCGGGTTGTGATAAACACCGGATTAACCATATATAATACTGGCGACTTATAGTCGAAACCAGACCGGGTTAATAATCGCTGGACCATAATTAGTCATGTACTGACAACTTGCAGTTGAAAGTCAAGCCGGGTTAATGAACACCAGTTTACTCCATAATAAGATGGTAACATAAAATCAAACCGGGCAGATAGTCTCCGGATTAAGATTTGACCGTGTTCCGCCAATTTGTAATTGACAGTCGAACCGGATTAACAATGTCG